ATGAATTGACGATTCCCTCTTTAGAGCCTATGAAGATTTTCTATGATAATCAATTTACAATATGCGTAGCGAAGAAGCTAGTTCAATATGATCAAATAAAGCATGTTGAGGTTGATAAGTAAAAAACAATCAGTAGCATCCATGAGTAGCGTTGAAGCTGATTTAGAGTCTTAGCACATAACATCTATGAAGGAATGTAGCTATAAAGCACATTCTATGAATCGAGGATTCCCTTTTTTAGAGCCTATGAAGATTTTCTACGATAATTAGTTTACAATAAGTATAGTGAAGAACCTAATTCATCATGATTGAATAAAGCATGCTGAGATCGATAGACACTTTGTTAAAGAGAAGATAAAGATGGACAATATCCTTCTGGTACATCCAGGCCTACCACCATAGAGCAAATATCTTCACCAAAGCATTACCCAAGAAGAATTTTGATGACCTTAATTCAAGCTAGGTTTGCTCAAAATTACAAACCAGCTTGAGGGGGAGTATAAAAACCCTTATCTAATCTGGGGGGTATCTTCAGGTATCTGCCAATTAAGAAGCAGAATAATTCTCTTCCATAATGGGGACATTTGCTCTTTATAGGACTGATTCTATTGTGTATACTTTCTTTTCTGTTTCTTTCCTAACAATCTTCTATATGTACCTAGCTGCTGTACACTGCTGGAAATGAATAAAAATACACAGATCTGATTCCAGAATACTTCAGATTACAATTAGGGCAATCTTCTTTTTGCACTTACCCTTAAAAAACAACCTTTATATAATATGAAATCATGATAAATTTGAAGTAAATCTGTAGGTTGATCAACTATAAATTTGATGAGATTTTACTACTAACAGATAAAAGTTTAATCCTACAGGAAAAAATCTTCTGAACAAGAGATCATATATAATAGATTTAGTATGTCCTATGTCATATAGAAACAGGAGGATAACGTCTACCTAGTGTTTACAACGAAAAGAAAAGATTCAGTATGTCCTTTGCCAAATTTCTCTGGCAGCATCTAAAGGAAAGATTCAATTATTGAGGACCACTCATCTTCAAACATTTTCAGCCAAGGAAATTAGTAATCTATGATCCAACAAAAACAGGTTAATAATGACTTACAGAAAGAGGGCGCAACAGACTACTTGCAACATGAGATGGAACAGTCATGACCACACTTTTGCTCTGCAATGAAACCAATCCTTCTGGAGTTTCATACGTCAAACAATATCCTCGATTGTTTAATTTAATAATACTTGAAAGCTTCCAAGATAATTTAACTTTGCTACCCAACCTGCCAAATATAAAGCAACTAATAAAAATATTTTATAAGGAGCTGATTTCTGAGGTGGGAAACCATCAGAAAAGTGCTCTACAAGGCAGTTAAAAATGATGTTGGTCCATAAAGGGTATCTATTTTCTAAAACATTCAATCAACAAGCAACATCACCTTGCAGAAATTGCCTCAGGCAACATTGTGAGTCCCTTCCTGAAAGATCCAACTGTTTGTCCCTTTGGTTTTGGCAGACGCCTGCACATTAACAAAGTTAGTGCTTTTGAGCATATAAAAAAAGAAAACAATACAGGCCTCAAAGCAAGTGTATATTATTACGGGTCACGCGGTGGCTTGACAGTGTTATTTCTCTCCTGGATTGCTTTAAAAGCGCCTCCAATAATGCTGCCACCAAGCTGTTCCAGTCTCCAAACCTTTCCAAAAGCTGCTTTCATGCTAAGTTTTGAAGGATCACCCGCATAAACACCTGTATAAACAACATTGACTGGTTTAGAAACCCTGATCTCTTTGGGAAGTGAAACAGACACATGTTCTGATAGTTGAATGCATCTCAGTCAAAAGATACAATATTTGCGCAGCTCATTTATCACCAATCCATATATTGTCCTGCTTATTTTATACAGCATTAAAAATACAAATTCATAATGCTAACCATAGCCAGTAATGAGATATGAATAGGGATTGTTTATCGTCATTAATATTGTTCAAACAAAATTGACTCGATAATCATGGAAAAAGATTGATATAAAATCCAGTTTCCAGCGTCTGCAAGTGCAATCTATTTCAATTTCCACTATCAGTCATGTCATGGCTGCCCTCTGAAATTGCCTACTCAAGATGATGCAACAGCTTCAATCATATGCAAAAGCATATTTCTTTTCAATTCTGGGTAATGAATAAGAAAGTTTTGCTTTTCGTGCACCCATAAAAGATAGCATGTAGCAATAGAAGACGTTCTGCAAAACTCATAACAAGGAACATGAAGCATCAAACACACATAGCATAAACAAACATGATAAATGATTGATCAAATATTGTTATAAAAAATGTGTCATGTATGGAGTAATTGACAAAAAGCTGTACAGCATGTACTACAAGATACTGAACCGTTCCAGGGTTGTCAGCGCTATGGATCCTTAACCATCACCTGAACAAAATGGCTCAATTAGTCGCTCAAAAACCTCATCCCCAAGGTTGCGGCGAACAAACTCTTCAACAGATTCCTCATGACCCTGTAACCTTTGTCAAAGTCGAAAATAATGAGTAAATTCAGTCAATAAGAGCATATATACATGCGTTTCTAGAACTAAATCTTTTCCAAAATAAATCTAAACAAAATTACAAGAAAGTTGAGCACAAACTGGAGGAGCAGGGCGAATTCCAATGGCACCAAATCCAGCCCTAAGCTTTCCACCAAAGCTCATCAAGTCAAAGAATGGCAAATCAGTTGGCTTTGCAGGCACTGGCCTTAATTTCCCATTCCAAAAAACAAAGCGAGGTGCATTAGGGTCCCCTAGTACCAAATCATCCTTCAAGCCACTATCTACCTGCAAAGCATGCATATAATCCCAAAAAAGTAAATGAAAAACGACCCAGCAGCGAGCTAACAGCAGCACAGCCAAGAACCCTGACTACCATGGAAGAAATAAAATGCTCACAAACACAATTATTCGTAGGTAATATTTTTTTTAAAAAAAAAAATTTCTTTTGCACATCAAGTTTGTGATGTTATTAGCGTTGCTACATAATAAATCATGACATTAAATGTTTGAACTCGAAATAGCAATTCCATTGTACAGTTCAAGTCCACAGTAAACAGACAGTTTTATCACTCTAACAAATGTCTCGATTTCAATAGTAAGTTCAAGAAATGGTAAACTAATCGCCATAACCAATTCACTACTCCTGGAAAAAGCATCAATGCATTACGTAATTAGTTAAAACCAAAGGAGAAATCTCAGAAACGCACCACCATGGTGAGAATAGGATCAGACGGCTGGAAACTGTTGGGGCCCTCTTCCCAGAGGTACCCGTCCCTCTCAACGGTGGTTATGTTGCCGCCGACGCGGTCTCTGGCCTCGGTCACAATCACATTGGAAGCAACATCACGGTGCTTCGTGGCAAGTGCCTGCGCGATGCAGAGGCCACTAATCCCACCCCCGACAATTACGCAGTCCGCCGTGGGGATACCTCCATCGTCGATGTTCGATGGCGAGATGGTGGAGCCCTCCGCGATCGAGCACTGGAGCCGGAGAGAACTGTTGGTTTTTACTCTGAGGTTGGATGTGGAGATTGAAGGGAAAAGGGAGTGCCCTGTTGGCCGTAGCACAGACAGCTCCATAAGAGCCGCCATGGCGGGGTAGAGAGAAAGAAGCGAGGAAGGAGACTGCGTTTGATTTGGTTGTTTGTTACTGCCTCTACGCACAGCATTTGCGAGTAGAAACAATTATCAGATTGCGTTGATTGGGTTTGTTATCCATAAGGGCAAATCTTGGGTGTGCACGCTCATACCTCTTATGCGTCCATTTTCGATATTTGGTTTTTGAACAAATTATAAAACATGAATGATTTACATGGCAATAAATAAAATTCAACTTTATTTGCTAAATAAACAAAAACATAACTGAAAATATGATAATTCAAAAAAATTACTATAACATTATTAATAGTCCATAATCAAAAAGTGGTAATAATATTAAAAAAATATATTTTTTTTTTTGGGTAATATCCAAATATACTCATGTCAATAAAAACTAAAATCATTAATAAAACTTTAATAAAATTAGTCAATATTAATTTATAATGATCTTTAATTCTAAATGTCATTTATACCCTTTTCTGTTCTTACGAGAATCTCTTGAGTTGCTTAGAAATTTTAGGAAAACTGAGAGTTTGGTTATTTTGTTATTGAGGATTTGGTTACTTTTGCAATTTAATTACATTCATTTGCTTATGGATTTTTTTTTCTTCTTCTTCTTGCTTTTCAAAATTACTACTTGGTAATCTTTGAAATTTTGAAATTGAATTGAGCAGAAGGGCAATATCGTCAATTACAGATTGACCCCTTCGCAGTGCGCGCCATGTGTGTATATATATATATATATATATATATTAGAACTGCTAAGTCGTTTAACCGACAGACCATTAATTACTTCATACTTTCATAACAAACCATTTCATTTTCCCGCTTCCTTTTGTTCTTCGCTTTCGCGCTCCTCCAAAGTTTGAAATCTACTGTCTCTTCTCACCACCTCGAAGTTTGATTATTCTCTTCTCTAGATCGTTAGTTTTTTTGGTGGTTCTAATGAAGTCTCTCACTAGAGATCTCCTGAAATATGAAGTTGGAGCTCCGTGATGTTCATTTGCAAGCAAACTGTAAGGGTTTCTTTTTTTTTTTTTTTTTATTGAATCTCACGTATCATGCTGTGAAACTTGTTCAGTTCCACTTTGCTTTAAGATTATTATTTTTTTTTCTTTTTTGAGTCCGCATTTGGAATACTAGTATCCAAATACAGGATACTCTGTGCTCTGCTTTCTATGTCATTTTTTGGGTTCCTCAGTTTTCCGGACATCTTGCTCATTACCAAATGCGGGCTGTGATTTTAAATCTGAAACTTCTCTATATTTTGATTGTTCCAATTTGCAACTATTATTTGTCTTCCTGCAGATTTTTCTCTTGAATTTGTCGGTGTTGATTTCTAGAAGCAGGTAAATTCTGGTACTAGAAAGAGACCGTGATATTAGGGTTTTGCTAATCCACGTTCTACCATTCTGATTGTCATTGGAATTCTTTTTGAAGGCATTTTGTTCTTGTTTTTTCTTTTTATTTGTTAAATACACCATCATATGATTGTTTTATCCAAAATTTTGCAGGCTTCTTTCTCTAATTTTACTTTCGCATTTTTTTATGTTGGTGGAAAAATTGAGGGCGATTTGGTATTGTATGTTTATAATATAATGGATAAAACTGAACTCTTGTTACTTATAGCCATAGTTTTGAAATGATCTAGTTGGGTCTAATATTCTGCTTCTCTGGTTCCAAAATATTCAATCGGTTAAGTAGACAGTGACACTCTTGTTTTCTGGATGATTTGTACTAAGATAAATGAGGTTGAGAGATGTACTACCTCATGTTTGCTTCTTCATAGAGATTATGTTCCCTTGTTAACTGTCAAGTTGCTGGTTTGCAGCGTCTAATGTTCTTGGTTATGTGAGTTCTTAGGTCTCTTTGCACAGATGGAGGTTGATTTGCAACAAAATTTACAAGGGGTAAGTATCTAAATACGTTTTAATATTTGACTGGTTATAGAAGGTGTATATGCTTCCTAGCCGCTGTTGGTTGGTAAAAACATTTATTCTATGTTCCTGTATATTATTCTCTTTGCTTAGGGATAAATTTATGTATACTGTAACAAGATGCATATCTGTTATTTCCCGAGACTGATAAACTATCAACATAACTTTTAGTTGATGGCTCTGTCTATTTGTCTTAGTCTTGTTTGATTATGATTTAGTAGTTAATTTTACTTGCTACACTTGCATATGTCAATCTATAAATTTGATGGTTGAGCTTTACTTACAACACCTGTAATGTACAATTTGTAAGGTCTGTGAATGTGTTTGTTCATGTGCAACTGTCCTTGGTCCTGAAATCTGCTGCAAATTGACTTCAATTCATTATTCACTAGAATTTATGCAAATCACAAATTGTGTGGATGTGCATATGGTCTTTCAGATCTGCAGATCTTCTGCAAATTAAATGTCTGACATTTTTGTGAAACTGTTTTTTAGGACCAAAGGAATGACTACCAGGGCTTTGGAAGTGATTATCAGCCTTCTAGTCAATCTAGAAAGATGTCAGTAGGAGTTATGGCTGATTCATTTGCTAAGAAAGTTGGAATGAAGGATCAGATTATTGTGCCAAATACAGAGATGTTGAATACTGAGTCAGAACCAAAACATAAAAATGAAGGTCTCACAACTGCCATAAAACGGAAACAAGATGAGGCTCATGGGCAAGTATCCTCTCCATGGATCACTACCAGATCCTTTTACCAAAAAGTTCCAACTTCGGGTACTGATCTTTCCGTGAAGCAAACTTCCAGTTTACCTGGTGCTGGTGTGAAGCAGAAGAAGCCTAATGGAGTAAAGCATGCACCATTCACATATTCAGTAAAACTTTTTGCAAATGAGACCTCTGTGTTACAGTCTGTTGATGCTAAGCAGGACAAAGTTAATGGCATAACCAACAAAATGAATGGAGAGAAGGGAAGAATTCCAGAGAGGGTCGAGGAATTCACATTTGCAGCTACACAGGAAGTCCTTGTGCCGCAAAAGGCTGTGAATGTGATGAAGGATAATACAGACAAGGCAGAAAACAGAGGTACTGAGGCTTTGAGAATGAAACTTTTGGAGATTCTGGGTACTGTTTCTTCCCCAAAAAGTCAGTATTGTAATTATCAGGACCATAAGGTTGGAGCAAGTAACTTGGATTCAGCTCAAGTTGTCAACCGAGAGGATGCAAAAAATCTCAAGCCTAGACAAAATTCAGATACAATAGAAATGGATTCTGGAAGTCCTGTCCCTGCTGTTAACAGACCAGTAACCAGGTCTTTGCTCCACAAGAGAGCTGCAAAAAAAGTGCAGCCAAGCAAATCTAAACTTGGTTCATCTTCTAACTATAAGGGGAGACAACAAGAGAAGAACATTTTCTCTTTCCAAAAAGAATATCAGTGTAAACTTGATAATGCTGCCGGTACTAGGTCTAAGAGGAAGAGAAGTCAGAGAAAGGATGCATTTAAAAGAGGAACAGTTTGCTTTACTGGAGAGGATGGTGCAGATTGGATTCACAAAGAAAATTATGGCTGGAAAACACCACGAAGTACCAAAAAAACATCCTCATTTAAGAAAACAGGAAATCACAATGTTACGCCTCCTGTGGATAATAGTGATTTCCAGGAAGCACAAAATACCATCCAAGAAAGAGAATTGAATCAATCATCTGTTAGAAACAAGGAAAATCAGCAAAGTGATTTGGATAGTCCCGCTTCAGCAGAAAAAGGGCACCAGGAAGAAAATATTGCTAATACATCTCTTAAGAAGTTTATGGACTTGCAAAATGATTTAGAAAGTCCAACATTTGGAATTAAAGCTCCCAAATCAATCCCTTCACCCACCTCCATGGCAGAAACCGTCCAAATGGAGGAGAGTGATCTCAGTCTTCCACCAGAAGAGAGAAGATTTAGTTTGGAAAATATATGTTCCATCAGGACTTTCAAAACTTCAAAACAATTTGATTATGAATCAAGCCCACAAATAGAATTATCTGTATCCTTTTGCTATTGTGAGAATTTGAGTACGATAATTAGTCTCCAGAAGTGTGTATGCTCTAGTATAGTCTTTTCTGCTTTTGCCTTCCCTTATTGAACTTCAGGATGACTTAGAGAAGTTCCAAGATTATGCAGCAAAGGAACAGACTCCAGTCAAGTCAAGAAAGGGTGCAGAAGATAACCTGTCTGAATCATCTTTAGGAGAGGGACTTCAGGTTCACTTGCAAAAGTTTCAAGATTATGCAGCAAAGAAACAGACTCCTGTCGAGTCAAAAAGAAAGTCCAGATGATGGCCTGTCTGAGTCATCATCATCATCAGGAGACTCCGACAGCTCTAAAGAAGGTTCACTTATTATTCAATGATATTACTGTACACTTCTAATCACTATTGCAAACATGCAGAACTTCACTTATATGGTGGATATTTTTATTATTAAATAGGTTCATTTTTGTTTTATAATGTATTCTGAGGTGCTGCACAAGCATGGCATCTTAGAGCATCAGAAACACTTTCCTTGTGATGTTTCTGGAAGCCTTTTTTGACATTTATGGTTATATCATGATGAACCCAGCTTCTATGATTTGCATATTATCCCAGAGGGGTCTACACTCTTCAACTAAAGAACAATAGGTAGCAACAATTCTAATTCCTTGTTTCATATTTTACTTTCAATTATGGTAGGATGTTAACGGATTTTTCCCAATTTATGCAGTCAGTAAATGCAAAAGGCTCTGTCCTTTCCGTTAGTACCCTGGTAGAGTCCCTACCGTTGCATCTACTTGCAAGATGATTAACATAGAAATCCATAAAAGATTTTGAGTGTTTTGTTTTCGAGTTTCCTTGTCTTTAACTATTTTGGATACAATTAAGACTTAGCAAAGAGAACCCTACAATTTCTAAAATTTTCAAAACTTCGATAATTTCCGTCCATCTCTTTCATAGATTAGAAATAAGGATTTATACAATAGACATGATAGTAACAGTTTCTCTTTTTAGCAGGATGTAAAACTGCTACAACTGCCTATGACAACTGCTAACTACAGAAACTGCTAGAATTGCATATTATAATTGCTACAACTGCTTAATCTTATCTTCCTAGGCTTAGTCAACTCTAAGAACTACTTGACAAAATTTATTCCCATACAAACTGCCCATGTACAAAATATAACACCTACAAACACATATAAAACACCCAAAGACCTAAAGATAATTTGTTCTGAACAACAAAAATTTTCTTCCTCCTTTCATACACTTTGGCAGATGGCATTATTTTTTGGTGTTTAAGATCCCTAACATCTCATAACATTAGCTTGCTATGTTGTTTTTGGACTTAAAAGCTTGTTAATTTTCTGAATTATAGTTCTGATTTTATCATTGTGGAAATGCTTCTGTTAAGTTATTTACTTGTTGAGACTTGAGTTCAATTTCTTGCTACGAGGTGTAGGCAGCTTTACTGGTTTGAGGCAGGATATCCAGTTGACAATCCTCTTTTAATATATTTGCAGTTTCCTTAATTCACTATATTTCATTTTCCTGATTTCTTCCAACATCCCATTCCTTCCCATCACTTCTATGTTGTAATGCATTCACAAGGTAGGATGTGTTTTTATGAACTTGAGTGCTACTGCCATTATTCTTTTATTTTAATTTAAATTGTTGAATCAAGCATAGCTTCTTGAATATCTGATCTTGAAATTGTGATGGGTGCATCTGACAGAACTAGAGCAGATAAGTAGCCAGTTACAAATAAGGGTCAAAAAACAAACTACCGATATCTCTAGCAGAAATATAGTTCCTAAGCAGCAAGAATGAACTTTTAATCCTGAGAAGAAATACTCTGATGCATAAGAAAAACGTGAGATTGTTTTTGCCCCTACTTCCAGGAGGCCCATGTCATACCGATGTTGCCACTATGGATCACCTTTTGATTCAAGTACTTCATGCCATATGCATGTCTTATACTGGATTTTTGCAGTACCTGTCGGTGATCATTTTGTAAAATTCTTTGTTGCTTGTCCATGGTCATATCCCCTTTGATGATTCTGCTTCCACAAGCATAAATACCATTCTCATTTCCTTTTTTGTTACAAGTAAAAGAACTATCACTGTAGCATCCATGATCTGACTGTCTTATAACTTTTGGATTTTTGGGTACAATCTTTCAAAGAAGTGATCAGACAGCTTGATTGAATATAAGCTTGAAACCACTGCAATGAATATGATACCGGCACCTTTGTGTTGTTCTATTCTATATATTTTCTTCATTCCTTCCCTTTTTCTTCCTCCTAAATTTTAGTCACCAAGTTGACTTTATCCAATGGTCATGAGCAGGTCAGAGGGAAAGAGGGACCTTTTCAGGGAATTGCTCCCCAGAGAAATCAAAATTCATGCTTTCTCCAACTAAAACGGTCTCAGATCTTAAAGGAATTCGGATTGATGAACTTAGTCCCAACTTACCCTTTCCAGAAGGTAGAAATCCACTTACAAATATTTATCTTACAAATATGTATCTCCTGCTCTTCTTATCTGTAAATGAAAGTTCATTTTTCATGTCTTTCTGACAAAATGAGTAGGGGTTCATGAAAATGATTGCTTAGCAGAATCTTCAGAACAGGATCAAGAGGATGGCTTGGGAAGGTTCTTTTTTTTTTCTATGCTGAGAACATTGGAAAATTTTCCTATGAATGCCATCTTTCTCCAGTACGTTCTCTTGGTGGTTGAGTGTAGCTTTCTTGACAATGTTTCAGCGCTGTCACAATATTGGCCTTAGCTTTAGAGAACTTTGAGAGAAAACTGGCATCAGCAGCAAAGAAAAAGTCCTCTGAAATTCTGATTTCTGTTTCCAATGGGATAAAGTTGCAGCTACAGAATGCTGAATTCCAGATCCAAACAGATCTGTAGGTACTTCCAACTGACAGATATTCTCATATGTGATACTAATTTCTCAGGTGTGATCTTGATGATCTTTCAGAGAGAACCTGACTAGCCTCAGTAACTCAAAGAGAAAACATGTGGAAACAAGATTGCAAGGTAGAGAATTAGCATAATGACATTGCATTGACTTTTAACTGAATTTTGTGAAGTCCTACTCAAACCTGTGTGACAGTCAAATTGCGTTTGCCCCTGTTCTTCCTTTTTTTCTTATCTGAAGGAGGGTGTCTTTGTTCTTGACTTTCCGTAGGTAATTTCTGAAAATGGCAAAACTGACTGTGATAGTATGCAACAGTACCTGTTAAGCCCTTGAAATTTGTTGAGAATGTTATATATTCTGAGCACTTGATTTATGGAGTAATGAGTTTCTGTTATACTATATACATGGTGAAGATTACTTGGTCAAGTTTTTGCTATCCTAGCGTCTGGAATTCCCATGTTTAAGATAGGTTGAGGGTCTGGGTTTCAATTTGGTGATTGTGTTTCTTATCAAGAAAGTTCTATGATTTGTACTTCTTTGGAAATCACAACCTTAACTGTGAGATAAAAACTACTTTGAGTTTTTAACAAAAATAATTTATTTTGTGAATAATGTTTACTCGGAAATGAAAATAATGTCAATCTAGCTGCAGACTATCATAACATTACTCTTTTACCATTTAAATTTACTTATATGTTTATGTTGATTTCAAGTACCATAACAAATGCTAATAGTTATATATGCTGAATTATTCTGGTTTATTAGGTCTTAAAATTTGTTTCTTGGGTCTTGCTCCACAGTGTACACTTACAATCTTTACATGCGGTATGCATATCTTGGCTTAAACTATTGGGTACAAAATGGGTCACCTACAAACAAAGTAATTTCTTTAACTTGATGTGCAAGTGCGGTTCTCTAACTTTGAACAATTATAAGTGTATTACCAATGTTTCCTAGTAAACCGTTCTCATAGGGGTTTTATTATTATCATTTCTGAGATCTATTTCTGCTCTTAAAATTCTTCTCTTCCTAATGTTGAAATGGTGATTTGCACTTTCTTTTGAAAAAAAGAAAATTTTGCAGAACAAAAGGAACGTTTTAGGTTATTACATGAAAAGTTTAAGGAAGAGATTAGTTATCATATCCAGGATTGCAGAAGCATCATTGAGGGGTTGGAAATGCAAAAGATTGAGTTGAAGGGAACTCAAAAAAAGCAAAGTGAGATCTATCATTGTCTTGAATGTGTTTTTTAACTCCATACATGTTTGAGTAAATTGTTGCTTTTATTTTCCTAAAAGTGATTCAATTGACAAAAATTATGGTAATCACAATCTTTTGGCCTTTTATGAACACCACGGGCCAAATTATGCTGGTACATTGTTTTTTTATCATGTGCTTTGGAATGAGATATGAATGGTTTATTTTGATCAAGCTTCTCTCTATGAAGATTTTCTAATCAACTGATGGACTCTATAGAATTTATTATATATTATTGAACATTTGGATATCAAGGAAAAACGATTTAGGACAGTTTCTGCACAAGGCTGATAAATGTTAGTTATTTCAAGTGACAGAAATCTAGTCACAAGGTTAAGTGGGTAGGAGTTGGTTAGTTGCAGAAAGTCTAGATACCCTTACTTTAAAGAATTATAGGTGGGAGCATAAAGAACAAATTTTCTAATAATAGTTAACTGCTAGGCAAACTGCACTTTTAGGAATTCAATCTAATACATTTATGCTACCAAAGTACACTTCAGCGCCATCTGAGTGCATCCATTTAATTTAGTTAGTAATACTAGTCGCCTGGCCTCTTCAGCAGCCTATTCTCATTTCTTATGTTCACTCATGGAGGAACCTCAGAAGTGGTGCAATTTGCTAGTTTTGCCGCTGGCATGTCTATCTTTGGTAATATGATAGTTTTGCCACTAGTATGTTTATTGTTGGTAATATGGCAAAATTTATAATTTGATTTGGGATATCTACGAAGAGTGGATTCAAACCAGACTTGACATGCACTAATGTATGTTACATTTAACTAGCTTTCATAAACTTCATGACTACGTACATTTGGCATTGTAACAATGCTTCATCAGAAGAATTTTTTTCTGTGATATTTACAGAAACATCACATAAGAAGCTTATCTCCCAATTGGAAGAAGCAGTTCAGAACCAACTTGATGACGCCCACAGAAGAATCACAGCTGTTAACGAGGCATGTTCTCTGTTTATTACGTATTATCTGATACTATCGAGCCTAATTCTGGAAGGAAGAGTGATCACTTATGGAAGTGTTGTTTGTATAATGTGCATGTCATCCTATTTCATTGCAGTTGGCCAGAGGAAAGATGCTCCAATTGAAACGAATATTAGGTCAGTGCCTAAAAGAGGGTATCCTGGATTGACGTGAAGACTTCCTCTGGTAGAAACAGACGTAGATATCTTTGTTGATGTATGAGAGTTGATGGTGTCTAATCTTTTGCGTCTAATAGGTCTTCAATCTGGTAGTTGCGTTAGTATTATGTCCCACTCTATAAGAGTTGCTATTTACCTCTCAAATGATTTTGGAATCACTTACTTAAGCGTACAAAAACAAGTTCTTTATAGTATTGTTGAAATTGAATTCTTTTGTATCCATGGTTTTGTTTATGCTTTGCTTTTCCATATGTAGTTAGAGTCAATCTCTAAGATACTACCTGAATTAGATTTTTGATATCGCGACGTGTTTATCTGGTAAATGGGCTCAAAGTTGCAATGGAATTGAATACATATAATGGACTAATAAGGTCAAAATCATGGATCGGCCTGTATTGGAATTCTGTATATGATGTCATCTCTAATGTCTATGTTCGTATGAGTCTGGCCATAGACATGTCAGTTATTGCACGTGAGTACGCGTGGGTTTTTACTACACTGGTTGGTGTGGCATTTCTGCTCACAGCCTTGTACGATGTACCTTTCACTTCATATTTGCTTGAACATTAAAGCCGGTGATAAGTTGTAGCGCCTCATATTGCTTGATTTCTGGCTTGACTCATTTTTTTTTCTATAATTATAATTTACTTGGAACAGTTGCGTGGTGGAATTAGAGTAGAATGGAGGGGTGTCAGCTATGTCGTCCTTTGGTTGTGATTCAGTGGCTAAAATATTTGTAGGGTCTTGGTGACGTGCCTGCGAGTGGTGCTGGGAGTGGGTGATGTGTTGGAGACTCTGAAAATCCACGTAGGCCAAAGAAAGTGGAAACCTGAGGGGGGAAAAGATTAATTACTACAGTAGCACTCAGCTCCGGGAGCATATTGTACATGAGAATTTGGTACAATATCTGACGCCAAAAACTGCTGATTGGGGTAGGTTTCTAATTTCTTTCCTCCTTATCATTGTAGCTGTCTTGTCCGTCTCCTCATTGGTAGTGTCGTTGTCCGCTTGGTGAACGGACTGGCTGAGATTTTGCTTCGTCACTCGAGTCTTGTGTGGTAACAGGAAAAAGTTCGAAGACAAAAAACATGAGCACGTGAATCCCACGCCTTCACGTGAACAACACGCTTTTTTCCATCCCCAAGTTCCTATTCCACCGGTTCCGACTCTGATTGGATTGGATGCTTTAAGGATGTTGACCCGTGGAAAACTGTCTCTACAGCTGGGGGAAAGATACCGTAAATGCCCTTCGCCATAAATGCTATTTCAAACATATAGATGTTGGATATGTGGGTCCCTCCCTTCCCTGCCTATTCTTCGGGAGTGGGACCCCAACACCACGTGGGTACTTCAAAATGGGCTTTAGAAAGCTCTTGCAATAGAGTGTAGGTTGTGTCCTTGTCACAGCCTCCGACTTCAAATCGAAGATAACGAAAACGATGCCCCGATATGGCTACACCTTTTTGTTTTGTGTCCACCAAATTAAATAATAGTATACATCGGCTTATGTGGGCTGGCTTAGATTTTAGAAAAAGCAGAATTTTCTTTTGAAAAAATTTGAAATTTTGTTGAATGACAATTAATGTACATAAGTAGGATAACAATGAACGGGAGTGTAACAAAAAATAGTAGGTTAACTATGTTATAGAAATTCCTAGTTGAAGAATTATCCAATGTATAAATTTGATCAAGAATTTTTATAAAACTGTATAATAACATTTTTCTTGATTATTAAAATGTGAGAAAAATATTTAAATCTTTTCTCACATACCTTAATTGATTTTTGAATAATAAAGCATATATTTTGACGAGTAATAGTTAGATACAGGTTATGCCCAAGTAAACTTTAATCATTCATTTTTCTTTGAAATATTTAATTTATTATTTGAATTTAAAACTAATATAGTTGTTCTAGCATTAAAGTCTTTGATATTGAATAAAATTTTTTCATATCAAACATGGTTGTTAGAAAATTAATTCTTTGCATACAAAATATCTAGTAATTTTTATTTTCAAGTGTTTCCATAAGTATAAAATTAATTTTTTTTTTCCTACAAAGGAGGAAGAGGAAACAAGCGAATGACAAAAACAAACAATCACGCCATCAATCTACCATAGGTAGCGTCACAATATCCAAACATTAATTGTTCGGAGAGTGGATCAACCTCTTAAGGCCAAAGGAATTTCATTTGTCCAAGAAACCAAGCGATCAACATAACTATTTCCCTCCTTGTAGATATGTGAGATCTAGATATCTCACTCTCGTTGAATAAGCACTCAAAGGTAACTAGATCGATTCATATCTATCTACAATGGTATGTATGGTTTATGAGAGTTTATTTAAGAAATTAGGAGTATGTCTCAATAATGAGCTTCCACATCCTAGTAGCTTAAGCTAGTTTAATACACTCCATGACCCTATAAAGCCTTGTTTGAAGAGTATTACAGGTACCAATATTATATATAGAGTCATCAACCGATTAATCCTTATCGTCATGAATGATGCCCCGGAAGTGGCATGTCCTAAATCATCATTAGTCTAGCTATCTGTGATCTTGAACCAATTAGGATTGGGAGCCTTTCAAACCACCTAATAATTGTTGACCACTAAGCAATATTGCTAGCTTGATATTCCAAAATCAAGCGGATATTCTCAAAGCTCATTAGTCGAGCTAAATGCTCAGTAAGCTCGAAGGCTCTTGTTCCTATTTTTCTGGATAAGCCATCTAGTAATGGGAAGCTCACTTTCCAATTTGCTATACCATGCATATTAATCTTCATATTTAGGTTCCAAAAAAATAACCTATTAAAAGGAAGAGAAAAAAAAATATGTTAAAATATTTAAAATCAATTATATCTATTTAGCCATGGTATAGTCATGGATAGCATGGAGGGTATCCTCTTTATCAGCAGAATATCGTAGCATTTATCATCGACATCAATATGTCTATGTTTCTTTTTATATTAGTAAGCAAGTGATTATACACCATTACCCACATGAAATGGTGAACATGCTTAAGAATATAAAGTCTCCAAATATCTTTCCATTTATTATTCAGTTTGTATTTTGACTGAGAAAAAAAAATCTAATTAGCATTCTTGATGAAAAATTATCATTACTAGTATGTGGCTTGTAAATGTTTATCTTAGATAGACATGAGTAATATGAGTGATCTGAAGATATATCATGGGGAAGAAAGCTAACAGATTGCTCTTACGTATACCACCTATGTGGGGAGAAATACTCCACCACCAATATATCCAACTAACCATGAGGGATCAAGGATTAAAGGATGTAGAGAAGTTGACAATCATCGATTCAGAGTTTTTTTTTTCTAAAACTTAACATCAATCTCATTCCAATATCTCATCTAATTCTGTTCTTAAGGAAAATGGGATTTATGCATGAGAATTTTTCAAGTTATAGATCCATAAAAAGGAAGATAGATTGCCTACTAATCTCATGGAAAAATACTAAACTTTAAAAAACTAGACCTAGAGATTAGATGATTCAATGAGAAGTGTCATCCAAGCTTCATTAAAATTATCTTGTTTTACCTCGACATGCTCTAGATCCTTAAGCCTTCAAACTCTTTGGCCTAGCAAACTCGATTCTAACTCATTACATTAATCTTATGCTGACTCATCCTAAAATCTCAAATAAAGTCTCTAATGAGCTTGTCCATGTCTTTCATTTTGTTACAGGTGTGCTAGATAGTTCACATAATATAATAGAGTATAATAGATAATATGAATTTCGCCAATGTGGTACAGTCAGCACCAGACAGGTGGGGAATCTATTAACCAATGGGTCCTTTCTAAAGCCGTTCAACTAAGCTCTAATATGTCTTCTCATTGTTCTTTTAATGAAGGAGAGGGACCCTTTGATATATAACCGAAATCATAATTTGATGAATTTTGCTCAATTTGTTTAGGTCTTGAGTGGTTGGGTACGAGACATTATTGAAGAAAAAGATTTGTGATTTTGTGAGTTTAATCTTCTAAGTAGAACATTTATAAAAAGCATTCATACAAAATTTTAATATTCTTATTTAGTTAATGAATGCATCAGTAAATAATATATGTGAGATGTTACGACTCTTATGATCAAACTTAAATTATATCTAATCTTTAGATGCGACTCTCTCATGTATGATGTGGGTAGCTTCTAGATACGTAACACAGATGTAGGGTGAGAGTGGGTTTCCTTGGTGAATACCACAAGAGAGAGTAAGCATTAATCATGATTTACATGTTTGTGGTCGTGATGCAATGCATGGTGCATGTAATCCACCTAGTGGGGAACCACACTTTCAAGAGGGTGCTCTTGATGAAACTCTAGTTTAATCTATCATAGACTCTCTCCATATCAACTTTGATAACCATCAAGTCTTTCCTCCCTTTACGCCCTTTCATGATATGAATGGATTTTTGAGTGATAATAACATTATCAATGATTAGACGCTTAGGAACAAAGCAAGCCTCATTAGGCTAGATAAGGAGCCTAATAATATGGTTAAACCTATTAAAAATTATTTTATTCAAGATTTTATAAATCATGTTACACAAGCTAAGAGGCCTAAAATCAACAAAGGTCTTGACTTGACCCTTTTTAGCATGAAGATAATAATAGTATAAGTAATTGCACAAACAACAATCATCTCTTGAAAAACACCTCTAACAAAATTTTGAACCAAGGGCCCACCTTCTCCAAATACTTCTGATTTATATATTTCTCACCTTATG